AATAAAAAATACAAAAAAACAAAAAACAAAAAAAAAAACCCACCATTTTCACTTGGTTCTCCTCCCTTGTCACAGATCTCTCCTTCCCAGCCTCGGCCGGCACCACGTCTGCCAGAGTTCTGCCTGGGGCTCCGGCCTCAGACACAGTGTAGCTCAACCCTGGCTGCACACGGAATCACCTGGAGCCTTTTTAAAAATGCCTACGCCTTGTCCTACACCCAGGGGCTGAGATTTCATCAGTCTAGTGGGCACCAATGTCCAGTTTTTCAATTTCCCGGATGATTTCTGTGGGAGTCCAAGGTGGAGAACCACTGCCATAAGGGAGCCAATTCTGTCTCCAGATCTCATAGACCATCTAAATGCTCACGACTCCCAAACGTACATCTCAGCACAGACCTGTCCCCCTGAACTCCAGATTTAAGAATCCAACTGCACACCACACTCCTGGATGTCTGAAAGACATCTCCAGATGCAATGTGTGAAAGGAGGTTGTGGGCAGGGGGGTTCTGTGCAGTGCTGGCCACAGAGAGAAAAGCCTGGAAGGATGTTAGAGGCAAGGGGAGGTAGGTTTCGGCCCCGCTCATGGGAGGGGGTGATGTCTTCCCTATGACAGGGGAAGTCTTCCCATGATCGATCAGGCTGCCGGCCATAAAGCAAGCTGAGGCCAAGAGGCTCCCCAGTCCGACTGGCTGCAGCAAGGACCCCTCCACCCCACGGTGGCAAACCAGCCCTTGACAGCTCAACAAATCCCAGGACACTGAAGGTTACCTAGAGAATTAGGGTCATGGCCAGAACTGGAACCTAGAACTCTGGGTCTCTGTTCTGGCATGCTTTTTTATTACAAATCTAAGCCTCTTTGCTTTATGTCAGTTTTTGTGAGATTCCAACCAGTCTATAAAAGAGAAAGTCTTTGCAAATCTCCAGGATTCTCGGGCCTCGCCCTGGAGCTGCACATGTCCTGGACACTAGGGGGCACTGTGTCCTAGCCTGGGGCCTGTCCCTCCCCTTGGGCTGCCTTTGCAGGGAACATTAGTGGCTTCAGGAATGGGACCCTGGTGTCCTCTGCTGGAGGACTGCCAGGACCCCCAGGGCACCACTTGTTCTCTTACTCATTTGCTGTTTCACCTTCTCAATCCTTCCTTCATCTCTTCATTCACATCCCCTGTGTACAGACACTGGGGAAATGGTGCATGAGACAGACAAATCCCTGCTCTAATGGGATTGACATTCTAATGAGGACAAAGAGCAATGAAGAAACAAGTACCTAATATAATGTCAGATGGTGGTAAGTGCTATGGGGAAAAATAAAGCAGCGTAAGGGACTAAGTGCCCAATGCAAGTGACATGTCAAGGAGCTATTGTTTTAGATACAGTGATCAGGGAAGGCCCCTTGGAGGAGGCAACAGCAGAGCAGAGATCTGAACAAAGTGAGAGAGCCTGTTCTTTAGGTAGCAGGGGAAATTGTTCCAAGCAGAAGGTGCTACAAGTGCAAAGTCCCTGAAGCAGGAATATGCTTGATGCATTGCAGGAACAGTGAGGAGGCTGGAGTGGCTGGGGTAGAGTGAGCAAGGAAGGGAGCAGTGGGAGGTAGACTCAGCTTATTAATGTCATGTACATCTTAAGGACCTTAGTTTTATTTCAAGCGTAACATGAGCCCACTGGAATGCCAAAAGCTGAGGGTGATGTGGTGTGATTTCTGCTTAAAAAATATCACAGCTGCTGCATGGAGACTCTAGATTAGGTAAGGGTGGAAGCAGGAAGATCTGTTAGGAGACTGTTAAGGTGTCCAGACACAAGACGAATGGCTGGCTGGTGACCAGATATGGAACATATTCTGAAGGTGGAATTTGCAGAATTTAAGGTATAACAGAGAAAGGAAGGATAACGTCATAGTTTTTACTGAGTCAGGTGGATGAATGGTGATGCCATTTACTAAGGTGAGGAAGAAGTTAGGGAGGTGGAAAATCACAAGTTTAAATTGGGATGTGATGAGCTGAGATATCTAGTAGACCTCCAAACAGAGCCTGGGTAGGATGTTGGATATTAGAGTCTGGAATTTGGGGTGGGGGGAAGGTCAGGACTGGACATATAACCTGGGAGTCCTTGGCATATAGGTGTTATTGATAGTCACAGGACAAGATGGGGTCCCGGCAAATGAATGTAGTCGGGAACATTTCATGGCCATGTTGGGAGGCAGATGAGGAGCTGCCAAAGGAGGTAGAGAAGGAATAGCCAGTGGCAGGAGGAGGTAGGAAGCAAGGGGCAAGGGAGAAGGCACCTGGACCAGTGCTACTCCCAGGCAGGGCAAAAGGAAAGCTGACAAATCACCATTGACTTGATAACTTGGAGGTCACTGGAGACCCTGAGAAGAGGGAAATAATTCAGAGGACTGGTGGAAACAACGGCCTGACTAGAGTGAGTTCAAGAAAGAGCAGGAGGAAAGCAAGTGCAGACAGGACTACAGACAACTCATTTGAGAAATTTTACTCTCAAAAGGAGTAGAATAGGGGATGCCTGGGTGGCTCAGTCGGTTGAGCATCTGCCTTTGGCTCGGGTCATGATCCCGGGGTCCTGGGATCAAGTCCTGCATCCGGGGAGTCTGCTCAGCAGGGAGTCTGCTTCTTCCTCTCCCCCTTCCCCCTGCTCATGCTCTCTCTCTCTTTCAAATAAATAAGCAAAATCTATTTTAAAAAGAGTAGAAGAGCAATAGTTGAAGGGGAGGTGGGGTCAAGAGAGGATTTCTTTAAAGGTAACTCTTACAGCAGTCTGTGTAGTCAGGGAAATAATGCACAACAAGAGGGAAATGTGATGAGGGCAGGGGGTGGGGGTGGAGAACAGCCTCAGCCATGCCCTAGAAGGAGCTGAGGGGTAGATGCCTATTCCCTCAGCCGAACACTGCTGCTTCTGCTCAATTTCCCCTGCCATCTGTGCTAGCTGCCCGGGATGACCACTAGGGACAAAGTGGGGATTCTGACACCCCTGCTAGAGTCACCCTGTTACATCCCCACTGCCTGCGCTGCCCTCTCTGGAGTGGGGTACCAGGCAACAGGCCATTTTAACAGTGTGGAGTCGTTACAGGGCAGAGGGCTGTTGACCGCCTGGGGTCAGGCTCAGAGCCAGGCCAGGGGCCCCCTGCAACTCTGTCTGCCCCTGCCATTATTTTCTGCCTTTTGTAGAGGGTTCTACAAACCTAGCTTCAAGATCCCCTGTCCCTACCTCAACTGACCCCACCTTGAGGTGTTCCACACCCGCAAGTCCCTCCGATTTAGAAAGTCTGGAGACGCCGATGGCTTGCACCTTACGCCAAACAATGCCTATCCTTACGATGGACCTGCAAGGCAAGTATTATTGTCCCATTTTTCCGAGGAGGAAACTGAGATTCAGGATGTCCAGGTCTGTTTGGTTTCGAAGGCAGCTTTCTTTCGGCTGGGCCAGAGGGAGGCGCAAGGGGCTGGGCGAGCTGCTAGCTGGCTCCTAGACCAGGCGACGGGCAGCCCAGACCCTGCCCAGACCCCGCCCAGGCTCCGCCCCACCAAGGGGTCCCGGGCCGGCCAGGCCTTCGAGCTCCAAGCAAAACGGGACTTCGTGATTGGGCGGGGCGGAAGGATTGGGTAGGGCTTCCCAGTCGTAGAGAAGCCGCTCGTGGGCGTGACTTTCTCGGGGCGTGGCCTCTGGCTCCGCCCCCTTCCGCGGGCTCAAAGCGGACGGCGGCCGCGGGGGCGGGGTCAGAACACGGGTGGCCGATCCCAACGCGGCTCTGTGTGGCCAGCCACCGGGCAGCGCCTCGGCGGGGCCGAGCAGGTACTGGCGACCGCGCGGGGCGTCTCGGGCTGGGCCAGGCTGAGGGCAAGAGCCTGCTGGGTACCACGGAGGGCACCGGGGTCGGGGCCAGCGTTGCGCTTCCTCTTGCGAGTCTGGGCCCCTGCCTCCGCCCCCGCCCCCGCCTTCCTGCGGCGAAGCCGGCTGCGGCAGGGCCGATTGGCGCCTGCGCTGCTTCCTGCGCCCGGGACTCTGCCAATGCATGGGGCCCGGGCGGGGGACGGGGGAAACTGAGTCACGTCGGGATGGTACTAGGCCTGTGTGGGAGGCACCACCCCAGCTGGGCTCCAGAATGAATCCCCTACCTGGCCATGCTTCGGGGTCCAAGCCCTCACCGATTTCCATAGGGGCCATGGCCCCGCCCGGTCTCCCCCAGCGCCCAAAGGAGTCCTCATCAGCCTCCACCCGTCCGGGAATGGCTAGGACCCGCTCCAGCCGCCTCCCTTTCCACCCCTCCCCCTCGCGTCCCGAGCCCCCGTGTGCTCCCTCCGCTGGCTCCGCAGTGTCAGCTTACACGCCTTATATAGTCCGAGCAGGCTTCAGCGCGGCCTGCCTGTCGGGACCTGGGGGCGGGGGAGAGGAGCGCCGGCCCCTGACTCACCCGCGGTCTGTGCGAGGCTTAAGGCTGGCTTGGGGGGAGACCATGTCAAATTAGCCCTGCGGCCCATTTCTGAATGAAAAGAACCTCAAGATTAAATGAGGGGAACCCCTCATCATCCCAGTCCCTGGGGGAGGGGGGTTGCCCCTGCCTTTCCAGAATGAGGTCTGCTAGGCAGAAAGCCAGGCACACCTGACAAGGTGCCCGCCTACGGGTGCCCTGGCTGTGTTTAGCGGCTGCTTGTGCCTGCCTGGCACCAGTCCAAGGCTGGTGTCCGGAGCTGGACCTGCGTGCACACCCACTATGCTGTCCACTCACCTTTTCTTTCCTCCCAGGAGCAGGCACCATGGAGTCCTTCAAGGTGGTGCTGGAGGGGCCCGCACCTTGGGGCTTTCGGCTACAGGGGGGCAAGGACTTCAATGTACCCCTCTCCATCTCCAGGGTGAGCCATCTTTGGGGGAGGGGCTCCCCCAGGAGTCTTTGGGTGTTCAGGTCTCTGGTGGGTAATGGGAGGAGTCTGAGCAGGAGTGAGCCAGGTTCAATAGAGCAGGAGGTATCTAGGTCCAGAGATGTGGTGGGCACCTGCCACAAAGACTCCCAACTAGGTGGGTACTGGGAGAGGAGCACCCACAGTTCCCCAGCACTGCCCTGTACTTTGATGCCATTCCACAAAGCTCCTGGGGCCACCTCTGAGGACCCAGGGGGATGCCCATTCTGCAGGAGGGGAGCCTGAGGTCTCTGGGAAGTATCTAAGCTGCTTGAAGGAGCAATGCTTGGAGCCAAGCCCCAGCCAGGGCATTCTTGACTGCAGGATCTCACTTCAGCCTCATTGCCACCCAGGGAATAGCAATTGTCATCCTGTTTTTCCAGATGAGGGAACTCAGGGCTCGGAGAGGTAGAGGGGCCTTTACAGCGATTCCTTGGCAAAGCAGGGATTTGAATTCAGGCACTGGGATGGTCTGCAGTTTGGTGGGGAGTGGGGGCACTTTCCAGCCTCTGTGAGGTTTCTCCATCTTCATCCATTGGTCCTATTCAGGATGCAGTGGCCTCTGACCCAGAGCAGGGGTGTGGGTTGGGCCTCTAAGGTTCTAACTTCAGCTCCTGAAGGCCTGCTCTGGTAGGGGCGGAGCTGGGGGCTGGCTCCTCCCTGTGGCAGGGGGATTGCCTTATAAGCCCAAGAATGCAACCCCATGCTGGGATGGCCAGCTGGTGACTAGAGTCCACAGAGCTGAAAAAAGCTGGTTGAGGCCTGAACGCCTAAACGCCATTGGTGGGCCCCTCAGCTGGTGACCACGAGGACATGGCTCCAACTGTAGGGTCAGTTGTAGGACACAAAGAGGGTGCCCAGAGAGAATGAGGCCAGCCCTGGGACTGGTGTCTGTGGCCAGGGGGTCAGGAGGGGGCAGGGACTTCCTGCCCGCACATCCGCCTGTCCAGAGAGGCCCACCCAGGCGCCCACCGGGCAGGCAGCTTTGGCAGGAAGCCCAAAGCAAGCACAGCCTGGAGGGGGCCAGGTTGTCCAGGCACTGCCCAGCCTGAGAGGGGCCCCAAGGCCAAGTCTGTCTACAGGAGTTGGGCCTGGTGGACAGGGCGGGCGGTTGGTCACTGTTCTTTCCAGGGACCTTTCCATGGGGTTCCCCTGGAAACTGCCCTGCTAGCTGGGTAGCTTAGGTCCGCCTACTACACAAACCCACCCCTACAGTTGTCAAGCCTTGCTAGCCCTGAAAGTGTATTCTATGTTCCCCTCTCTGCGAAAGTGCTAGCCAATGTGGCTGGGAGCTGTAGGCCTTGGCTGGACTCTGAGACTCAGTTTCTTCATTGGAGGGGATGGGCAACATAATAGCCTGAGGGATGGACTTTAAGATGTGGCCTGTTGGGGGCACTCTGGGTCTGAGCTCCCTTGTCAGCAGCCCTCGCTGTGGGTGGGGCCACAGGCTGAGCCCAGCACTGGAGTTGGACCTAGGCCCTGGTGGGTGGGCGGGTGGGGTGGTCTTTTCTGAGTTGGGTCAGCCCCTCCCTCTCCCCTGACCCCAGGGAGGAGGGAGGGGCTAGGGCTGGCTGTGGGCCCAGGCCTGGGAGATGAGGTAATGTCTGAGACTTGGGGGTTGGGCTGCCTATTGGAGTCCTCAGGCTGACTCACCCCCACCCTATGCAGTGTCCAGCTCTCTAGCTTTCCCCCTTCTTGACTCCTCAGGCCTCCTTGCTTCTCTCTCCAGCCCCCCACCCCACATCCAGGGTTTTCTCCAGCTTCCCTCTCCACCTCTCTGACCATTCCTCTCTCCCTCTTGTGCTTCCTGACCTCCTTGCTCAGGAAAGGAAGTAGTCCCCAAATCCCCACCCCTCCCTGGGAGCCAGCTGCTCCTGCCCACCCCCCAAGACCTCTACCTCAGGCTTAGCCCACACCTCCCAGGAGCCAGCTTGTGTGGGTAGGGAGTGGCTGGACCAGGTTTCCCTTCTACTGACTCACCATAACCTTGAGTAAGTCACTTCCTTTCAAGGGTGTCACTTCTGTATGCTCATTATAAGGGGTTGTTGGATTGAACTAAAAGCTAGAGAGGAGATCCAGGCCCCAGACCCAGCCAGGGGTTTAGGGAGTTGTTCGAGGTAGGATGACCTCTGAGTTGGGTCCCAACACTCAGCAGAGGTAGCCTCGTGTAGTGGAGCCTTAGGGTCAGGGTCAGACCTGGCCTTGCCTCTTACCAGCTGAGCAGTTTGAGGCAAGTTACATAAACTCTTTTTTTTCCCCGTGTGTAAAATGCATATAATCTCAGACTCCACTCCGCGGGTTGTTGGAAGATTCAATATTAGCATGTGACAGTACTAAGTGCTCCGTAAATGTCAGCTGCTCTTCTTACCGTGTAGCAGATGAAGAAGGAGGCACCCAGTTGTCCTGCCCTTCTAACCTCCCAAGCATGAAATGGAGCCAGCTCTCCCTTCTTGCCCCAGGGCTGCATCTGGTGTCTCTGCCTTCTGGAGATCTCTCTAGAACCTCCCACCTCCCCTCTCCCTGCCCCAACTTCGTCTGTGCATCAGCCCACCTGAAGAGTCTCCTGAGGCCACGGGCAGCCAGTACCTTGCAGTCCTACCCCCCAACCTCTGAATGTGAATCGGCCTTCCAGCACTTCCCCGTGGAAGTGTACTTAATGCCAGGCCCCTTGCCAGATGCCCAGGCAGCTCTGTGGGCTTAGACCCACAACAGCTGTGTCACCCCTTTCTGAGGGGCTAGAGGGCTGGGAGCGCCCAGTGGGGTTTGTCAGGGTTACCTCTATCAGGGCTCTGGGAAGTACCCCACTGGGACTTTCAAAGGGCTGATGGCCCCTCCTAACCTTAAGGCCAAGTCCTGGTTCCTTCATGACAGTCTCAGTTCATGCTGGTGGTGACCATTACTGCCAGCCCACTCTTACCCCTCATTTGCCACAGGAACCGGGGATTCCCAGGGCAGAGCCCAAAGGACTGGGGGAGAGGGTAATGTGGCAATTGAAGGCTTTGGGGTGACACTCATTTACAACCTCAGCTGATACCTTGGGCCCCCTTCAGTCACTTCACGGGGAACCTGGAGATGCCGGGGGCCTATTCCTGGCTCTCAGAGGGTCCTGGCAGATCCCTGTAGCTGGCCCCAGGACAGGGTGCTGGGAGTGTAAGAGGTCAGTAGGAGCACCTGGCGGTGTCCTGGAGGAAGTGGCCATAGGCAGAAACCAGCAGTGGGTGAAACAGCCTGGGCAGGAGGCTGGCAGGGGGCTCAAAGGCTGTGGTTGGAGCTGAGAAGCTTGGGGCTTAACCGGCAGGTGGCTGCTTGGTGATGTCACAGCAGTTCTGCACCGTGGGGAGGGGGGTCATGGAGGTGAACAAATGACTAAATAAATAGGGTGATTCAGGTGTTTGTGAAGTTCAGATGAACCCCACCCACCCAGATTGTTTTAGTGTTCCACAGCTGCCCAGAAATACATTGAATGAAGAGGCCTCTGGGTTCGAGAAGTAGGGCAGCTTAAGCAGGGTTGACTAATGTTGGCCTCGGTTTGGTCTGCAGAGGCTTGGGCGGCCGTGACCTTCCATCTCTCCACAGCTCACTCCTGGAGGCAAAGCTGCACAGGCCGGTGTGGCTGTGGGTGACTGGGTGCTGAGCATCGATGGAGAGAATGCCGGGGGCCTCACTCACATTGAAGCCCAGAACAAGATTCGTGCCTGTGGGGAGCGCCTCAGCCTGGGTCTCAGCAGGTACAAGGGCCCTGGCCTGCCTGGCGGGTGGGGCACCCCCAGGCCTGGCCTGCTATTACCCCTTCTCCTTCTCCTCCAGGGCCCAGCCAGCTCAGAGCAAACCACAGAAGGTAGGCCTAGGACATCTGAACGCAACATCTGGGCGGTGGGTGGGGTGGGACTAGACTGCTGAGCTGACTAGCTCTCCCCCGCAGCAAGGAGCCTTGATACCCCTATCCCTGGCCAGAAATAGAGGGTGGGCGCCAGAGCTGGGGGAGTCTGGGAAACTGGGAGTTGGGCTGGGAGCTGCCGCACGGTCTGGGCACCACGCATGTCTGCCTGTCTGTCTGCTGCCTTCCGCTGGCCTGGGCTACCAGCCGCGCTTGTCTGCCCTTTGGCCCGCGTGGGCTGAGATCATCCCTCCCACATGGGCCCCTTGAAACCTGAGTTCCCCCCCACCCCCGCCCCATGCCTCCGGCCAGATGTGTGGGTGTGGGGCTGGAGCACCGCTGTCCTCTCCACGCCAGGGGGGCACCCCCCTCCAGCCCAGCGTCCCCGCCCCTGCCTGCCCTGCCCGGCTCTGTCTCCGCCCAGGCCCTGGCCCCCGCCGCGGACCCCCCGCGGTACACCTTTGCACCCAGCGCCTCCCTCAACAAGACGGCCCGGCCCTTCGGGGCGCCCCTGCCCGCTGACAGCGCCCTGCAGCAGAATGGGTACGTCGGTCCTGCCCACCCACCGCCTGCGCCCACGCCATCTGTCTGAGGCCCCACGCCCCCGCAGCGCACTGCTGCTCAGTCTGCATTGCGCCCCAGCCTGGCTGGAACCGTGCGGCAGCGACCCCTGGCGGCCGGGGCGGGGCTGTGGGCACTGGGCCCCTCCGAGGGTGTGGCTCTTGCCCAGGCGCTGCGCTACCTGGGCGCTCTGAGCCAGGCAGCGCCCCCCAACTGGTGGCCCGGGGTTGGGGTGTGGTGTCGGGCGACTGAGCCCTAGATACTCAGTGCAGCCTTGCCTCTGGCTACTCTGACCCCTTGCCATTTTTCTTCTTCCTTGTGTCTGTCCCTTTGTCCCTTTATCTGTCCCATCTGTCTATTTCCTTCACAGGTGCAGACCCCTGACAAGTCAGTGAGCCCCCTCTGCCTGTCCCTTTCTTCCTTCTTTTTGGCATTCTGGGCGGTGGCCCCTCCCCACCCTAGCTGCCCTCCTTTCCTCTCACTTAGCTACCCTCCCCCCCACCACCCAGCAGGGCCCTGGCCTTGCCCTGCCCCACTCTCCCAGCACCATAACCCACATGCACCAATCCCGGGAGGGGCTGCCCCCACTGCCCACCCCCCGCATGAGGTTCTGAGCCACACCCTCCCCACAGACAGCCCCTCCGGCCGCTGGTCCCAGACGCCAGCAAGCAGCGGCTGATGGAGGACACGGAGGACTGGCGGCCTCGGCCCGGGACAGGCCAGTCCCGTTCCTTCCGCATCCTTGCCCACCTCACGGGCACCGAGTTCAGTAAGTGCCAGCCCAGGGCAGGGCGGACTCTCCTGCTGGCTCCCAGCCTGGGCCTGGGCTCTGCTGGGAGCGTGCTCTGGTGCCCTGTGACCTTCTGCCGGGGCTCAGGGCTGGGGTGGCCCTCGGTCTTCTCTTGGTCAATGCCTGCCTCTGCCCTCTCAGTGCAAGACCCGGATGAGGAGCACCTGAAGAAGTCAAGGTAAAAGGACGGGCCGTAGCCCCTCTTTCTCACCTCCTGCCTTGCCCATTCCAGCCACCGCCCTGTGTCTGCTCCTCAGGGTCCCTCGCCAGGGCTCTCCATTTTCCTTCCTTCTTTCCTTCCTTCCTCCCTTCCGTCCTCCCTCCCTTCCTCCCTTGCAACTCTCCTTCCTTCTACTTCCTCCTCCTTCTCTCTCTGCCCCCCAGGGAAAAGTATGTCCTGGAGCTGCAGAGCCCACGCTACACCCGCCTCCGGGACTGGCACCACCAGCGCTCTGCCCACGTGCTCAACGTGCAGTCGTAGCTCGGCCCTCGCCGGCCGGCTGCCCTCTCTGCCTCTCTCTTTCTGTTCCTCCCACCCAGGGCAACTCCCCCCACTTGGTCGCTGCAGCTTCCGCCTACCTCACCCCCTCCTTTCCTGCCCCTGGGCTGAGCCTCCTGCTGGCCTGGCAGAGGGGCTGGCCCTGTCTGACACTGCCTTCCCTCTTTGCCCTGTGGTATTACTCTCTGCCAGGTCTGTGCTGGCTCAAGCATGGAAATAAACATTCTCAGCCCTGCTTCCTCTGCCTCTGCCTTCTATCTTTGTGGGCTTGGTTTGTGGTTTGGGTGTGGGGGTGTTAGATGGTTCAGACCCAGTGTGGGCCATGCCAGTCTGGGTCTCAGTGAGGGGTGGTACCTGGCAAAGCGGGCCCTACCGTCAGAGCTAGATCTCTGGGATGAGGAAGCCCCGAGAACTGCCCCAGAAGGGAGAGAGTCCTGCTCCACCTCCCAGCCCTGTACAACAGACCTGCCAGCTGGAACCTGGCTAGGAGAAGCTGCTGCCCTACCCATACCTACCCCTGTGGGACCTGGAGTCCAGCCCAGAAGCTCTCATGCACCCAGGCATCTCCCATGGGGACAACAGGACCAAGGTTGGGGGGTGGGGCCACGCCAGGAGCCTCAACCATACAGGGCCTTGAATGGCAGATCTTGCAGCCAGGTGCCCAGGACAGAAGCCCCAGCCCCAGCCTCAGCTACACCCCAGGAACCCTGGCCTGGTGAGAGAGAGAGTGGGCTTGGGCCTGGGGAAGGGCGGGTAGCCTCCAGGGGCATGCCGGCGGGGGGGGTGCTCCAAGCTGCCCCAGGCTCAACCCCCTGACCTTTGGGGTCCTGGGCACCTCCCTAGAGCCACTTTCCTTAGCCCCGGCAGGCCCTACCACCCCGAGTCCCACTAGCCGCCCACCTTGGGCTGTGGACCCCGCATTTGCTGAGCGCTACGCCCCGGACAAGACGAGCACGGTGCTGACCCGGCACAGCCAGCCAGCCACGCCCACGCCTCTGCAGAACCGCACCTCCATCGTGCAGGCGGCCGCTGGAGGGGCCACGGGAGCAGGCAGTGGCAACAATGGCAAGACTCCCGTGTGCCACCATTGCCACAAGGTCATCCGGTGGGTGGCCCTGTTCCTTTTCCTACTCTGGCCTTCCCCGTCCCAAAGCCTGGCCCAGGCATCTTTCCGACCCTTGCGCCCCTGACTGTCTCCCCACTCATCTAGCTGTCACTGTGGGAGGATGAGGATTCAGTTCCCAGTAGCGGTGGGGGCAGGGACCTGGACTAGGTCCTCAGATTCCGCATCCTGCATCCCTTCCCCCACCGCACCCCACGTCAGCCTCTATCAGCGTTTGCCCTGCTGACATGGAGGAAGTGCCAACAACACACTCAAGCTGCACCCCTAGAAAGGCCGCTCTCTGGGCAGGGAAGGGCCTGCCCCTCCCAGCCCCTCTGCCCTCCCTCCTGTTCACTTGGTCTCTGCCAAACCTCTGCTCTCAGGACAGACAGGCCCGAGGCCCCTCCCTCCCTGCCCTGTTCCCTGGGGCCCAGCAGGGTCACACAGCGCCCCCAGAGTCAGCGTGCTGGCTCCTTAGAACCTTGCTAGTTCTCAGCCCTGGTCCTGCGCTGCTCTTGACTCCTGTCAGCTCTTAGGCTCTGCGAAGAACCCCTTCAGACATTTATGTGGGACCTGCAGGCCCCTCCCCAGGCCAGATGGACCAGGCAAGTGGGACAAGGTGGGGACCAGGGTCGGCTCAGGTACCCACTGGTCTTCAGAGCCCGTGGGCACTCTGGGCCTCCTGCCCCCAGGGCCCCAGTTCCTCTGGTTTGTCTCACTGGGCCCAGGTCAGCAGCCCCCAGCCAGCGTAACCCTCTTCCTCCTCCCAACACGGCCTGTCACAATTTCTTGTCAGAGCAGTGCAGCTTCATCACTGTGTCATCACTCGGGTCACCTCCCAAGCCTGTTTCTCCTTTATCTGGACAACGGGGAGCATGAATTTCCCTTCCAGGCCTCAGAGTAGGTGACCACTAACGTTACACAGGACAGGCGTGCACTCCCTCTCACTGCCCTCGCCTCCCCCTCAGGGGCCGCTACCTGGTTGCGCTGGGCCATGCATACCACCCCGAGGAATTTGTGTGCAGCCAGTGTGGGAAGGTCCTGGAAGAGGGCGGTTTCTTTGAGGAGAAGGGTGCCATCTTCTGCCCACCCTGCTATGATGTGCGCTATGCACCCAGCTGTGCCAAGTGCAAGAAGAAGATCACAGGCGTGAGTGGGGCTGGTGGGGGGCGGGGGGAGGGCAAATCTGACCCCATCGGCGTGGAAGAGTACTACGGAGGAACTCTTAGGCCTGGGGGCTCTCCCCTCAGGAGTCCTTTGGATCCTTAGCATCTTAATAAACAGGATGCTATATTAGCCTCATTTTACATTAGCCAGGATCCTCTTCACCGATGACCAAAGTCCTGCTCAGAGGGGCTCAAGCAAGCAGGAGTGTTACAGGTTTCCCCAGCTCTCTGAAAGTAGAGCGTTCCTGTGAAAACTTTCACGAGCCAAAACGGCGTGGTGAAGAAGCAAGTACTGTTAATTTATGTGGAAGAAAATTTGAGCGTTCCCAGACCCAAAAAATAACCTCATGTAGGCTTTTCTGGTACCTTTGGACACATCTTGCTAGCAGATGCACAAAGTAAATCAAGATGAAGCGCAGATGCTCACAGACTCAGCTCAGAGCTGTGGCGGCCTGCTGCGGGGATGCGGCCTGGAGCCGGATGCCGAGTGCGGCTCCCGGGGAAGGAGCCGGCTGGGGCCCCGTGCTCGGGTAAGAGGTACGAGCCGCCTCTGTGATGGCTCGCTGCGGAACAAACGCTGAACGCTCTTTTTCACCTTTTGCCTTTTTTGTAAAAGCAAAGCTCCTTTCAGTTAGAGGGTCCGTCATAAAAGTGAAGTGGTATATTGTTAGCTTCTAAAAAGCAGGAGGTTTGTGCACTGGCTCAAACGCTCAGAAAGCCCGAGGGGCACTAGCGTCAGGCCTAGTTGAGGGCGGGTCCTGGGGTCGTCAGGACTTCCCCCCACTGGCCTCTGTTGTCGTCCTCGGTGTTGACTTCGTTCCCTGCATACTTTTACTTAGAAGCTGGCAAAGATGGCGCCACAGCGGCTCCAGGATTCCCTCTCCCCAGCTTAGTGCCGCAAAGAGAATAGGAGCACCCCGGTGCCAGCGGACACGTCAGGGGTCCCAGTGCTGATGCTCATGGCAACAGCTGGGTCACATGCCTATCTCTGGCCTCGAGCTGCAGGACTCAGATAAGCCGGGCCTGGGGGACACCCGCCGGAGCAGGTGGTCCCACCCGCAGCACAGACAGAGTGAGGGAGGGTCGGTTCCCTGAAGTAAAACAAGATGACGTTACCCGAAGAGGGAAGGCCCACGCGGATCCCAGTGGCCGCGTCAGTGGGGTTGCATTCAGCGGCCGTAATAAAACCTCACTACAGAGCTTCCAGCAGAAGGGGTTATTTACTTCCGTCACAAGAATCCCAGGGTTGAAACAGCAGCTCCAGGATGCCTTTAGGCTTTTCCTGCCTTTGGCTCCGAAATCCTTAGCATGTAGACCCTTGTCCCCAAGCCTCTCATACCATGCTTACCCGAGGACTACTCAAGCCCCAGGCCTTGTGTTCTTGTTGCAGGCGGGAAGGAGAGGGAAGGGCCAAATGGCCTTATTTTATTATTTTTTTTTTTTTTTAAAGATTTTATTTATTTATTTCAGAGAGAGAGAATGAGAGAGAGCACATGAGAGGGGGTAGG